ACTGGCGCCAGGTGAACCTGGGAGTTAATAGCTCCAGCATAGTCGAAGCCACCGTGGAGGACGGTGAAACAGGTGATGGAACTGGCAGTGGACAGCCCGGTCAACATTGAGAACAACTGGGCGAGCTAGCGCAGCGCAAACCAAACATGTTCGCCCAATGACTCAGGAGAGGCCTCACCTCTTCCAAGGGAAAACATGCCAAACACACAAGACCAACAGCTTACACAAGACCAGGTTCAGTGACCTGACAAAGGACCCGTCACCTGGGGTACCCAACTGGGATAGCTTAGTTCGGGGTCTTCAACCTCTGGATACCGAAGATCGACCTCTGGAGCTGAACATCGCCAAAGAGAACGAGAGCCGAACACCACCCAGTTTCAGGCGTGGAATTCATTGACTTCTGGTGGGTATCCACTTGGGTATCCCTGGGGCTCCTGTCCCATATCCTCAGGTTCGGTGGTTAGACACCCCGAACCCACCCCAACCATCTTCTCAGCAGGTGGGCCAGGAGCCCTAGGGTATATAGTATATACATGCCCCCATTTGAATGGGACATCCTCTTCATATGGTGGGTGGATTCATCAAGAGTCTACATTCTTGTACACCAAGAGTTGATGGACCAACTCAAATGGGAGTTGAATGGTGCGAGTGCGACTTCTGAAGAGAAACAACAACTCATTTGTGCCTAGAACTAAACATCACCCTGGGCATCCCGCAATCTTCTGCATTCGCCTGAGCATCAAAACACATCCCAAGCAATGCACGGTGAAACCCACGTTGAAGCAAGGGATGAGTGGGTTGTCATGCGGGATTTGTCTGCAAAAACGATCCACTACAGCTGCCTCATGAATGCACCTGGTGCATTGCAAGTTGTGTGGGAGGAAACACTTTAGGAAATGGACCCCTTCTTGTGTGCCCTGCAGCTTAAGGGAATGATTATGCATAAACCGTCTCTAGTGAGCTAGTGAGCACCTACCAGAAATGTTGACATTGCAGCCCTTCTTTGTTGGCACTGCTTGCATTCAGCCTTGAAGCATCAGCTTACAAGCCAGTTGCGGTGCAAACACTTTATAGATCTTCTTGGTATTCTATATAGGGGCACACACTGACCCTGTTCATGATTGCACGATCTTTTCACCTGCTTGAACACGTGAAATCTCCCGTGGTCCTCGCATGCTGTTCGCCGTGCGTCATAGGATTTGACAAACTGGTCGTTCTCCTTGCTAGGTTCGAGAACATGTGGCACTTACGCATCCTTGCATGGGAACCCCTATCAAACCCGGATGATGTTCCAAGAGATTCCTAGCCCATGCATGGTGGCAAAAGAAAGGGAGACCACGTTCATGACGGCCTCAAGTTTCACCAAACTCTTTCTCCAACTACCTTGCCAACTTGGTGCTCAAAGGTGACCATCAAACGCCTGCCCGCAATCATTGCTGTCCACCCTCCATATCCCTCCATGCCCACTCCAAAGCCCATGGGTTTCCATGGGTTTTCCACTCCCCAACCATGGCAAAGCAGTCCTCAACCCTGCCGCCGATCCGATCCCCTCCCCCCTCCGAGTCGCTTCTCATTGACCGAGTCAGTGGACCCCGTCCGCGACCTGGAGCAGGCGCGGTGGCGCCGGTGGCTCCGGTGGCTGGGACTGGTGGCTCCGATGGAGCAGGACAAAGAGCCGGGCCTATCATAGCCAAGGTAGATCGGTATCACAACGAAGGAACCGTTTTTGAGAGTTTGTGTGTTTTGGTTTTGTTGGTGTGATTCTCAAGTTGGAGGTGCTGCAACAAAAGATCTTGGTGGAAGATAGTGAGTTCATGATCACTTGCAGTAGTAGACTTGGTAGCTTCGGCCTTCGAACATGTGAATCCTTAAACATGAACAAGGACAAATAGTCCGACTCACTAACACGGAAGTGGAACATGGCCCCTTGGAAGACAATTTTCCTTTACAAACAAGTGGTTTTCCACTTCCATGTTGGTAAGTCGGAGTGTAACTTGCTGGGTGGACAATTTATTCAAGGAAGCTAGATACTGTTCGTAGCTTTGGGCGACTCTGATGAACTACTCATAATCGAAGAAATCCTACACCACGATATCTCAACACATAACGTTGCATCGTTGATTTGGCTTTGCTATGGCCACTCAGCTTGTGTGTGTGTGTCACATGCCTGTAAAGAACTACCACATATTTATACCGATACTCACCTTGCGGTCATCATCGAGGGCTTTGTCCTGGCGCGAGCGAATGAGACTGCAGCCGTCACAGTATACTGACGGTCCATGAATGACTTGCTTCATTATGGACATCATGTCATGTACCTTCTTGATCATATGCCTCCTCCTGTTTCTGACTTGATGACATCTATGATGACATCATCTATTATTATGACTGCATGATGACATCATCTCCAAGTATGCCTCATCATGCATGCAACTTCCCCCAGCTGGCGACGTTTCCTCTAAAAACACCCCAGGACTGTAAGTGGGCTTCTCCAGAAAGTTTATCAAATCAATGGTAAACAACTGGAGTTCCTTCTTGCCGAAAGGCATCGTGGAAAAAGTTCAATCTGTGGGTGAACACATGTGAACAAATATGATCAAGTATGGCAGTCTGGTGGACTCTGGCTTGATCAATTTTTTACATCTCCTTCCTTCAACCAATCGTAGCTAGCTTTTCCTCCGACCCCTTCCCAAGATTTCCCTCCCAGTCCCGGAAATTTTCTGGACATCAAATGTTCTGGTGAATATAGCTCAAATATGGGGCGCAAATGTCCATCACATGGCTAGCAGCTAATTCTCCAAATCGCAAGGCCCTCCAAGCAACGGTTGGCTACACCAGTTCCAACTAGTCTCAGCTCCCCACCACACGGGGTCGTCATTGTTACATTCTCCCACTAGTAGGCAGTTGTCCACCAAGTAAAGATCACACTAGTGCGTGAACCTCAAAATCACCAAGGATCGAGACTAGCTCAAAACCACCTCAGGGGGCTCAAAACCGCCCGCCCTTCTCCGACCATGTCTGGCCATCCAAGGCCCTTCTAAAGGCCGGACCTCATGGACCGCATGGACTGGGAGTTCTTGGCGGCATAGCCAGTGGCGGCGCCTCAGCGCATGGAGGGAGGTTGGAGCACTCCGGAGGGTCAATGGACAATCCTGGAGGAGGATCTGGGACTATCATGTGTTTTTTTCAAAAAACAAACTTTATTAATCCAATTTGATACAAATTGGGACTATGTCATCCTGTCATTCCTTCAGAGTCTTCAAGAAACAAACTTAATATAATCTCAGCTGATCCGCTGTGCTGCTCATTGCTTCATCCCTGCAGATCAGAATCACAGGAGCCATTGCTTTGGGATCAGAATCCCAGGACTCACGGACCAGCACCGACTCAGCACCACTCTTCCCCTCTCGAACCACAGGGGCAACGCCGCACCAGCCGAGGGACTGCTACCTGTCCTCGTGCCAATGACCTCCGGCGATACGGCTGTCTTCTGCCTGGGCATGACACATGTGGATAAAGGCAAAAGAAGGACACCGCTCACGGTCCTCGAGGCCTCCGATAAGAGGTCTAGACTAAAACCGTTTTTGGGAGCTCTTAGCTCTTGGATCATCTGACTGGGTGACCTCAACATGAGGCTCCACCAGGACCACTTTATAAATGGTTCTGGTCAAATGGGAAAATCGATCCAGCATAGAATGCTCACGATCAAGCATCGAGGTATATCGAGGTCCAAGCTTTCAACACATCCCAAAGAAGAAGAACACCATTCACAGTGCTGGCCTGTCATGCTTCAATGCATGACCTGCGACTTCGAGAATTCAAATCCTATGCTTCAAAACAGGTGATTCCAAAAGAATTCGACCAGCAGCTCCTGTCGTTAGAATGCTCCTGGGCTGCTGATGGAACAAAAAAAACCTACAGTAGATATGGTCGAAGCTGGATTCACCCCAGCGGTCCCTTCTACACTAATAAGAATTATATATAACATGTCTAAGCCAATGTACTAATCGGAGAATCCCGCATTCCTAGTGGCCGCGAGGACAAAGCTGTCGAACCTATAGTTCGACCACTTCAACCAGTTCCCAAGGTCAACAGAACTTGTCGTCCCAATCCTTCTAATGCTTCCAGTCTTACTTCAAAGGTGAAGCGCCATTTCGGGCCCTCTGATTGCTTTATGATTTGGTCCTAGGTCATACACCCGGACTGCCGCTGGTCGTTCAGCTAGCTTCGCACATAGAGGTTCATCTATGTTCATCCGGAATAAGCAACTGACATGTTCTAGAAAGCCACTAGTTGACTTCAGGTGTCCAAACACGTCCCCAAAAACAGGTCCCCCAAAACAAATGTCTGACACGCAGAACAGGTCCTCCCAAACCCAAAACATACATTGACCCCCCCCAAGTCAGCCCAACTGATCAGCAAATCTGCCACAGTCCCATGGGTCGTGTCTGGGAAAAAAGGACTGTCTTCTCATGTCTTCTCGAAGACTCCGCGTCACTTGACCCGCTCTAGGGACGGGGACTCCTCCTCTTCGTCGTCGCTCATGTAGATCACCTAGACCGCGAGGACCGCAGACCGCGTGACCCTCCCGCGACGGTGAGGCGTTCGTATCAAGGGTGATGTGTTGATTCTTTGTGTGCTTTTTGATTCAGGGAGACTGTTCCGGGATCCAAACGATACACCATCTTTTTTAGTAGTGGCAGTGATGGTTCAAGAGACTTTTTGGGGGATTGAAGGGTCATTCTACTAGGTTAGGTATGTGAATGTCATCCCGACAGCCTTCATGGGCGATCTGCAAATCTCCCAGGTTCGGGCTTAGCAACACACGCTGCAAGCCCGTATGCAAGTCCAAGTCTGGAAGTATCACATCAATTTTCTGGACCATTCTGCACCAACTAACCCTCTGACTGCCTCTCACTCATAAAGCAACATGGAAGTGGATGGCATGGTCCCTTTTGGACGACCATATTACATGTTCCTTTCAATACTCCACGTTGCCATCATGTGCCATCCACTTCCATCTGTTGAGTTCCTCTGAGTGTGCCCTCCATCTTCGTTGTCCGTGGAAAAGCACACCCCACCGCCATCGCCATTGCTCTCTCCGCCCTTGACTCCACCTGATATCCACCAGTGAGACATGGGAAGCCGCAGCAGCCGATGACCTCTGTCGGTTGCCTCAATCGACGGCGATTCGGCAGTCTGCGACTGGAGACCCGAACCCCAAACGATCGGGGCGGCAAAGATGACCCGCATTGACCAACAACACCCCAAACGAGGACATGTAGGCCAAATATTTGCTGATGTTACATATAGATAGATGTCTATCTACCTATCTATCTATCTATCTGAATCTATCTATCTATCTGTCTATCTATCTATTTATCTATCTATCTATCGATCTGTCTATCTATCTATCTTTTTGAATCTATCTATCTATCTGTCTATCTATCTACTTATCTATCTATCTATCTATCTATCTATCTATCTATCTATTATCTATTTAAATCCGGCACCTTCCAAAAGTTGTCTCCTCATAGCCTCGTCAAGAGGTGTCCCACAGGGTGTCCCAAGCTTCCCCCAAGCTGTGGGGATCGGTCCTGGATCCTCGATCATGTGACCCTGGATCGGTCCGTGCGTGCCAAGACTCCTGCAACTTGAAACACATGTGGTGGAACTCTCACATGGGGTGGGAGTTCCAAACGAAGAAGACAGCCAAGAAACCCAAACGGAATAAGAACCAACTGTGGGTTCCATTAACAAACTGTTTGTTTGAGTTATCCTTTCGGGATCCTTTTGTCCTTTTGGAATCTTCTGCCAGGTCCCCCAGTCCAATTCTTCCAAAGTCCAACTCTCCAAATCCGACCCCGGCGAATGTCCCCGAAGTCCGGCAGCCCAGGACGCTTGAAGAACTCACCCTTCTTCAACTCAGGCCTCGAGTTATGAAGACCATGCAGGTTTCAGGAAGACCAGGCACACATTGGTGCTCAGAAATGGGTCACATCCAGGGACGAGAACTGGATCTGACGATAATGTGGTGTGGAAACATAGCTGTTCATGAAGAGGATTGGTCAGGTGTGGTTGTATAAGCTGATACGCAAAGCATGGATGGTCCATTGGCATTGTTCATGTGTCTGACCCGGAGGATTTGAGACTGTGCCCTGATGCTTCTTGGGAAGCCACCGAGAACCATACCAGGACACACCAGGAATTACCAGGACACCCTAGCTGTTTGGCTAACGTTGGCGGTGTCAACACCAGCCCTTCGGGGTGTCTACGGGGTGTCTGAGATGCCGTCGACCAAACGCCTTAGACATGGATCAGCAGAACTTACAGTCCGCTCAAACCAAACAGTGGGGGGCCAGTTCGCTCGAACTGACTTCAAAGGTCTGGGTCTGTGTCCCAAAACCACCAGCCCTTCGGGGTGTCTACGGGGTGTCTGACTGACTTCAAGCAGAATCAGTCCGGACAGCACCACCATCCTACGCGATGGAAGGCCCGAAAAAGTACGACACTCCTTTAACATTCTGCGCATTCTACGCAGCCGCCGAGCTATACTCCGCGTCACTGACTCACATGGAAAATGGAACATATGGGCCCTTAGAAGACGAGGTTCTCTTGAAAACGGCGAACTCACTCAACGAAACCATGTGAACTCACTCCACGAAACCATGTGATGTGCTCGGAGGTCTGTTCCCACCATCGCCCATCACTCCGTCGAAATCCATCGAAAAGTGGCAGCTTGGGACCATCCATCACACGGTCCCCCAGTGGCTTCCACCGTCCAGCTGCATCCACATCCTTGGGCGCCAGTCGCGAGGTCGGACGTGCTGGGTTGGGGCATCTGCTTTTGCGGTAATTTGGGGGGGTTGTTCCCTGGATGTCACTGGTCCCGATTGATCTCCAAAACTCCAAACCTGCATCCTTTCCCGCCCTTGCAAAGGTGAGTGGTTCAGTTCAACAAGCGCCATCAAGGATTGGTGACTGGTGCTTCAATAGTAGAGGGATTTACCTCTGAATCAAGATTTGGTTGGGATGCTGGTTGACGGGGGCAACATGAATAAGTTGATTTAAAACCTGGTCCCTATCAAGTATGCCACAAGTCTACGGAGTAAAGGCTTCGTTCAAAATGAATCTGTGGATGCAGTCGAGAATGGCGGACTGTCACCCACCTCACAACATGCAACTCTTCGCACCGATGTGGTTGTGGAGATGGCCCGAGGACGACCTCTGTGCCACCGACTCAATGGGAGGCAGTTCACCACCGTCTAGGCCCTGTGCGAGGGTGAAAACTCACCAGCTCTGTGCGTTTAGATGGGGTGTTGCTGACGATCTAGTTCGATGCAGTTCTTGGACGTAGACAACATCCAGTTCTTGGGGTCATCGACCACCGACCACTTGCAGCTTATTAAGAGATATCATGATATCCCCCTTAGGGCCGATCCATGAATGCCTGAAGACAAGAAGGACTTTATGCGACATGCTGTGGAAAAGCAGGTGGCTCTGCGGTCTGAGCCCCAGGGCAGCAGTCTTTCTGTTTTCGGCCCAAACAGCAGAATTGTTCGTAGTATCCATCAGTGGATAGGCTTGCTCGCCCCATCCCCCGAGTCTAAGCTCTCCGAGTCTCATAGGCAAACTCCGGTTTCAGGGTCACCTTGCAGCGTCACGTCTCATCCGGGGTTAGACGACTCGCGTTGCCCTATTAAGCCCGAACAGTCTCCGAACCGTGAGAAAGAGAAACCTCCTTGGGACTTGAGCCAAGTGATTCTTAATGGACTCAGACTCAGCTCAGATCTTGTTTCCCAACCATTTGGAGGGACGGAACTGATGTTCAAACCAGTGCTCCGTTTCACTCGACCAAACCGGGTGACCGACCCTACACCGGATGGACCTTCCGATCGCGGGCCGAGGCGAGTGTAGCTGTCGCTAGCTGAGTGCAGTACGTACAGCAAGGACGCGATATGGTGGTGATGATACTCGGAATAGTCTGATTATAGTGTAATGTACAATGTTATAGTAAGAAGTACAGTACCGAAAACAATAAATTCATACTATATGTAGTAATACTTGCATATAATTGATTATTATAATAATATTATAATTGCATATAGTACATTACCTAGTACAACTCATGTCAGGCTCTTCCAGCTCTTGCTTCTCCAACTTGGCCTCTTTGGTCTTTCAAAGTGTGGCGCGTCTTTTGGCTCTTGTCCCAGCACCTTTCGACTTTGCACTACTGAAGTTGATTCCCAATAGGAGTCACATCCACCGAGCATGACAAGTCCGCGCTACTCGCTACTCCAGCCGAGCTTCCTTTCAAACACATCACAGTGCTAGTGGTATAATAAGTTGATTGAATATCATTACACGGGAACCTGCGTCTTGGTTTGGAGAGGGGAAAATCTGGATCTCATCTCCGTTACAAGGCCACCACCCCCCCGTTGCTTCTCGGCATCAAGTGGCTGTCGTATATCCTCAGTAGTCGAAGTGGCAATCTCACCCAGCTATGGGCAGTCGTTGAGGAGGGCTGTCCCAACTGAAGGTCTACAAAGACCAAGCCACCCGCACCAGGTTTCAACACAAAGGTCATCTAGGCTGGCAACAAAACTGATCAACTACAAATCGCCGTTGGTCCGTTTGACCTCTCAAGAGGCTGGTTTTGTCTATTCCAAGTGGTGCTAAACGCCTCTGGATCACCAGGATGCAAGCGCCCTCGCCACAGATGTGTGGTATTTCTGAAGCGACTGGAAGATGACTCGGAACATGGATGCGCAAAGAACGTTGGAGTTCAGGAGTTCTGGCGCATCTAACTGGTCTCTCAGCGAGTTGTGTGTTGCGAAGAGCTGGGTGTGATGTGATCTGCAATCAGCTACCATCAGCTAACGGATCACTGCGCATGTGCTGGATGCCGGAACCGCTGCTGGGAGATTGACTGGAGTTGTCTGGCACGGGTGACCTCGTTGCATGTTTGCGAGCCATCTCTTTAGGACCTAATAACCCAAATAAATCCAATTAACTTTATGACTCATGACACTTCAGCCCCGCTCTTGCTTTTGATGACCCCTTCAAGAGAACAGTCCATTCCCCCAAACAAGAAGAGAGAGGTATACTGCCTGGGTAAGATTTCAACACCAAGTTCTGTGCTTTTCGTTGCCATGGTCAATTTGCTCAAGACATATTTATTCGTATTTTTTCAAAAGCTAAGCCTTGGGAGAGTGACATATTATATAAGTGGTGAAGATCGAACCTTCTTGAGGCTTGGTGACCATAGCAGCTTAGCATATAACCAACCATTAGTCACTAAATCCACCGGTGACACTCCCACGGATTCTTTCTTTCAGATCCCCCCTTCGACGACCCCAAGTTCCGCTCGACAATTGATTCAGCAAGGATCGACTCTCGGGTTGCTCATCCATAAGCGCGAAGGGGTCGAAAGCCATCTCACTTTGGACTGGCTCTCCCTCCTGCCGTCGCGAACTGGAAGCTGCATGAAGCTGCACGGTTTCAACAAAAGGTGGGGCGGAACTGCGGAACTGCAAACCTCCAAAGATCAGTGACGTGGAGAAAGACGAAGGAACCGATGAAGCCGTTTTCGATGTCCAAAGAAACCGACTGCTCAACCAGGAGCGCCCGTCACGACTCAAAAAAAACCGTCAGAAGCAATAGGATTTACATCTGGACTTTCAACCCTCGCACGATGCGATCTTGTAGTGGTCTCCTAATGGGATAGAAACCGTTTCCAACATTATGAATTACAGATAGTGGGATTTACTGTTCTATCTATGTGGGGGGTCTATATGCTCCTCTCCTAACATGGGTTCAATTTATATACACGTCCATGAATGCAGTGACTACATTGTGGTGGGATAAGGCGAGTTCAAGCAACCACACTGCAGCAGAACTTCTCTCGTCATGTCATCTTAAGAATCTTTGTCCGAAGGAGCGGCACACAAAAGTCATGGAGGCACCACCAAAAACAGTCATCATGCAATAGAAGCAATGGAGCATTCTGGCACCTCTTCACCTCTCTTCTTGAATCATACGAAAAAAGAGAAGCAAGATCCGTTCTCAACTGATGCCGTTCTCTCGTTCCCCCCCCTTGTCCACCCATCAAAACCTCCCCTCCACCCATCAAAACCACCCTGCCACAACCACCCCTGCCTTGCGGTGCTGAATGGGATCACCATTCGGCGTGGTCCAAAAGACGGAATACACGGTGACCGGCACCGGGAACCTGTCTCGTCGTCTCACTCGTCCCGACGGAATGGGCCGGTGAGGCCGTTGAGGCGAACGCAGAGACCGAAGAGCGAAAGACGTCCGTTCTCTGCGTGGTGCACGTGTTTCGGCTGGGGAACTTGGGGAACTTGAGATTCTCCAGTCTTCTGTAGGTTTGCTACGTCTTCTTTCCTGTGGTTTTTTTTGGGGGTCGGTTTGGCTCGAGCAAGTTGGGTTGGAGAAAATGCAAAGTCCGTTCAAAATGTGCGCATTTCAACCCAAAGAGGTACCAGCATATCCTGGTTCAAAACGTATGTCCAACTATCGTTCTTGAATGTGCACTGCACGTCCAAAACGGCGCAACTGAACTGATGAACTTTCAAACCTTCGCAACACCTGTCCCATTCCCAAAGTCCTGAACACCTTCACCAACCTTGGATAATCTATGAATATGTGTGATATTGTATGATATATAACATAAAGATTGCTTGGTGCAAGCGCCCAGCGAGAGGCCTTGGCATTCCCACACAAATGTGCGAAGATTCACCATGTTTCCACAAGACTTCTGCCATTTCCTCTGTAAACATGTCCTTGCAAACCTTCAGCAACTCTACTGCACACCTAGTTGGGACAGTAACCGGCACCACCGGCACAAGGACTTCCACCGCACTTACCACATCCCCAGCTCCCTGCGGCTGGTCATGTCCCTGCCGAGAAGCAAAACAGACCTCGGAGTTGGCTTGAGTTGAGCCATGAGCATCCACAGGTGTGTGGCACGAAGAACAATTTCACTCAACTTGGCTCCATAATCAAACTCCAAATACAATATGACTCTCCGGACTTTTTGCAGTGAAGGGCTTGACAATGTGCGTTTGGGCAAGTCAAGAACATCAAGAAGGCGGCCACATGGATCGTAACGCGACGTTCAAAAGTGCTTCAATCGAGTGCTTGGTCTACCATGGTCTACCATGGAGCCCAAGGAACATGATGGATGTCGAACAACTTTGGAGCCCTCCAGCAATACTTCCAGCTAGCAATGCATTCGGATTCTTGATCCACTCCAAAAGTCACCCCTCTAATGACAACACACAGTCTGTTTCTCCGTTTGGTGTCATGGATGATCCAAACAATTATTAAGCTCATGAATGCTCATTACACAACTCTTTGCTAAGGTCTTTGGCTTGCAAATCATCCCCGCTAACCCAACAAACATCCACGCGGATGTTAACCCTTTCCAGTTCCGCGCGGCATGAGGTTGGCCCATTGTGCCCTTCTCAGGCCCTTGAGGCATCGGAAGGCACTCAAACAGCTGCTGAAGGTCACCTCGACCGACTGGCGAAAGGCGAACGAAGCGAAAGAAGTCGATGTTTGACACCCCCGGACCAGCCATAGCCATAGATGGCTTATGATGGCTTGTTTCTGTGTTTTTGGGTCCTTGTGGTTTTAATTGATTTGCATATATGTGCTTACTGTTTTACGTGTGATTCTTCACTAAGCCTGCAAACACAAGTTGTAAAAGTCAGCTGGTTCGGTGACAACTGTTACGGGATGATGAGATTCTGATCCAACATGGTCAAAAAATGGATGACTGGGCTGTATGGACAAACTCGAGTCAAACACATCACAATCACACATCTGTGAGTTCGATTATGGTCATCACCACCAAGCAGCTTAGTTTCTCTCAACTGGGCAGGCTGAGCTGACGCGAATGGCATCCAATTGAGACATTTGTCTATGCTTAAATGCATTTAAATGCATGGTCATCTTCCAATCCATTGAGGAGTTGTAGACTCATCCATGCTGTGAGGAACACACACCCTCAGTTCTCTGGTCTCTGGTCTCCGCCCTATCGAGGACTGGCCCACACAAACCGTACTCAAACAATACGGGACATCTTCATCTAGGATTAGACGGAATTCATCACTGAGCCCTTTAGTCATCACTGACCTTTTCAGTTTCCCATTTCATAGAGTTTAACCTTTTTCTACCTGTTCACCTGTCCAAGTGGCGTCCTCCCCACTGCCCCCCCAAGTGGCGGGTGACCTGCAGGTGATCCACACGTACTTCCTGGGTATCACTTCATCATCACCCTAAGCAAAACCAAGTCAGCCAGGCCCTACATCTTCCACGTTCAAACCGCCTCCCGTCTTCCACGAGCCGTGCACGTCCTGCAAATGCCGTGTTAACACGTCGCCGAGGAGCACCAGCCCCGATGGCGGAGATGCGGATCAGGCTGGCAGCGTTGATGAAGTAGGAGCAGCCGCAGTAACCTGATCCGCAGGTAGATCCGATCGCTTTACGCATGGTTTGACGCATGTATTGTTGATTTTGTTCGTTTGTTCCATGCAGTTGTGGCTAGATAAAAACACCGTATAGGGGAGGAGGGAGGAAAGTACGTAAGGTTGAAAGGATTGGACAGGGTCGAGGTTTAGCCATGCTTGTGGCTTCAAAGGCTGTAGAGGAGGGAGATAAAAGTTAAAGGACAGTGATTATGTACTTATTGTATATACACTTGGAAGCGTAGAGTCTTTAGCAAGACTCCGCCGTTGGAACACAAGGTTTACCCATTTAGCCATGGGTCATGGTTTCAAAAGTAGGCTGCTCCTCAAACGTGGCCCCAACAAAAACCGCATCCTTTTGGTATGGAAACATCCTTTTACGCCACAGGGAACACCCTGTAAGCACCTTGCGTGACTGGCTCCTCAAACGGACGCGGGGTCAACTTGGTCCGAATGCGTCTGCCCCGAATGCGTCTGAACAAGGACGAGGCGCATTCTCCGGGTGAATAGTTCTGGATTTGGTAGACCTGGAGAGCGCCAAGCATGAACATGCTTCGAGGTTCCAAGAAGCTTGCTGATGCCTTGTCTGATGGCAAAATTGAGCAGAAATATCTGCCAGTTCTGAACGAGGATATGGTGGGCTACATTAACATGTACAGCACAAAGAATAGAAAGGCACTCCTCACTCCAAACACGCCTAAAACCTCCCACTTTGATACGTTTTGCCTTCCCAAACGTGAAGCTGCAACCTCTATATAATTCTTCCAGCCCGGCGCCTTGCACACTACCCATGTGCATGTATACATTGGGCACATCACCAGTAACAGTGGACGAGGATGGTTAGTAAAAGGCTTTCACAAACATATTCCCATCTGTTAGTGGTCATGGGACACGCCGACCCCCCCGGTGGGTGCCGTGGGGGGGGCCGAAACGCTGTGTTCTCTGACGTCGGGAATCGCTTCTAGCAACTCTCGCTTCCAAGTGGCTAACGCATAGCGTGGCCTCTCATTGAGATTCCCCAGGTACACCAACCTCGGTTCCGAGGGCCCCTGGAGGGGTCGATCAGCAGTCGATCCTTCGTGAAGAGGACATCACTTGGGTCGATCGGATTCTATACCAGCACCTTCCAACAGGTGCTTCCTGGTGACAAGTCCGGTGCCCAGAAACCACCTGTGGTCGGGTCTCCAAACAGCCTCTTGGAAGGTCCTGGTATATACAGTAATATCATATCATACCCCTTTCTGTGTGAAGAGATGGTTGGGGTTGCTCCTGTATCATTTTGGGGTTTGAACCATCTTGATCATCCCTGAGATGCTGACTTTCCTGAACCTAGCTGCGCAAAAATAAAACTCATCAAGCAGAATCTGAGCTATGTGGTCTTAGATGGTATTGTAATACGACGTGTCTTTCCCACAACTTGATGTGGAGATTTACTCATCCTGTGGCCTGTGGTATCCACCTTGCCACGGACTTTTGGACACGTTGATTTGAATGTTCAGCTTCCAGTTCCAAGTGGCACTTGAAGACCAACAAGGCTTTCAAACAAAAACGCAACGACCCTGTCCTTCCTGCTAATAAACCAAAAGCCCATCTTGAACATCTGCTCAAAAATTAGACGGGAACGCAAAAGCAACCCCCCTCAAATATTATGTCTACACATACGTCTACACTTGCTTCTTCTCCAAGGGAAGCCATTATTTTATTAAAGCTCAGTGTTTCTGCCGTAGCCGTATCAGTTGACTCACTTCAGTTTGGCCATTCTTGCTGTTTTAATAATAGACTAGCACTAGACTAACATCATCCACACAAAGTCTACCGTCACTGAAGAGAGAACCACATACCACCACAAACACACACCGCAGTGCTTGTGATAGCAGCTTTCCAGCCACACCTTGGCAGCCACTTTGCACCCTAAAGACTGGTCGAACAGCTCGTGACAAGCAACGGAGGTCTCATTTCAAGTATGATCCAGTTGGTTCCAATCGCTCTTTCCAACAGAGGTTTTAGAACCCTATAGGCTACTATACGCTATCCCATACCAGGCAAACCGCAAACAAGCAAAAAAAATCGCGGTTGCGAAGGAAGAGGGAAAGAAAAGAAAACCCGGACTAAGAAAAGAAAACCCGGACTCGGACGAGAATCCTCACATGAGTGGATGCGCTGCCATTTTTGTTCAAGCGTGGGCAATGCAGCGCGTGCATGCTTCCGTCATCCTGGCTTGTTTCGCGGGGGAGCGCGCAAGTGCAGCGTTTGACGCAGCCGTCTTGATGCAGCTTGAAGCAGCTGTGTTTGAAGCAGCTATATGTTTGCGCAGCTATGTTTCATGCAGCCGTGCACTATGCAGCCACGCTTGTTCCGGTCTAGGTGCTGCTCTGTTGCCCCTCATGATTCCACCAGGAGGAGTGGGACAACCACCGTCGTTTGCGGGAGCGCGTGCGAAGTCTCGGCCGGCTGGTGGTTGACAAGCCGAAAGAAGGAGAGGCGGAAGAGGCAGGGCAGGTTGTGGCCAAGACGGTGGAGAACATGAAGTACAATGCCCCGGCCTTGAAGCCGATGATGGAGAAGATGCGCGGCCAATTTCATGTCGTTCCTCAAATTGAATCTTTGCAGGCTGAGTTGCAAGCGCTCTACATCTCGGCTGGCCTCAACCCTTCTGGAAAAGTGATCAGTGACCAAGCATGGTCATTGCGGTACTTGTGCAGCCTCTTGAAAAAGTACCTGTACAACAAGACGCCTCCTCGAGTGACTTGTCTCAATGCCCCACTCCTCTGCCCAGTACAATTGTTTGCTTCGATCAGTCCGAGGATGCTTGCACTGGTGAACTCTTGAGAGCATGGGGTGTTGACATGGAGCACTGGACGAAGGCCTGGAAGGCTTGCTTGTCTTTTGTTCTCGCCGCTTGCGCGTGGCCCTGTGCAGTTGGAAACCAAGAAGTCTTCGCCCAGAGCCCGCGGCGCAGAGGACTGATTGTGTGTGTGCGTGTGTGGCGTGATGTTCGGCTTGTATTTTCGAAGCTTCTGGCCACCTGTTTGCAGTTTTCCCTATTTGCCGTTTCTAACATGTTTGCAGCCTTTTTCTGGCGCCATGTCCGCAGCCATTTCTTGATTGCTCTTGTTCTGTAGCTGTTTTTCCGGCCGTAGCCTTTTATTCAAATCCGCAGCCTTTTCCAGAGCTCTTTGCTGCAGCCTCCCGCAGCATCCCGTAGCCTTTTAAATTCTGCCGTCCTTTCACGCTTTCAACCCGTAGCTTTAAAGCGCGCTGTACGTGTTTTTTCTGCTGCCTTTTCCTTCAGCTTGTTTTGGCAGGCTTGCCCGCACCCATTTTGGCATGCCCGCAGCAAATCTGCAGACCATTTGCAGCTCCGGCGCCCTTTTGCAGCCGTGCGTTGCCCTTTTCACTTGTCCGCAGCCATTTGTACACGCCCGCAGCAAATGCCAGTCCTGGGTGTGTGTGCCAGTCCTGGCTGTTCTTCCAGGACTGGGTGTGTGTGTGTGTGTGCCAGTCCTGGCTTCCGTCCATGGACTGGGTGTGTGTGTGTGTGTGTGCCAGTCCTGGCTGTTCTTCCAGGACTGGGTGTGTGTGCCAGGGTTGTTCTTCCAGGACTGGGTGTGTGTGTGTGTGTGCCAGTCCTGGCTTCCATCCATTGGGTGTGTGCGTGTGTGCCAGTCAGACCATTTGCAGCTCTGGCGCCCTTTTGCAGCCGTACATTGCCCTTTTTGCTTGTCCGCAGCCATTTGTGCATGCCCGCAGACCATTTGCAGCTCTGGCGCCCTTTTCATGCTCGCAGCTTTTTATTTCCCTTTTCATGGTTGCGCAGCCATTTAACTCGCAGGGTTTTGACAACCATTTCTGCAGCTTAATCGCATCGATATTCCGATGTAACCCGGACAGCAGGCATGTTTAACCCGGAGCCATTTCTGTCGCAGTTTCTTGCTGCAGCCTTTGTTTAGTCTGGACCTTTGCACTGCAAATTGTTTGATTTCTTTGTGATTGCTGTAACATCTGGCATAATTGGCATCTCGGCCACGGCCGGTATTTCTTGTCTTCAGCGTTCATCATAGTCCGCAGCCTTTGGAATGAAGAATCTGTGCACGATGGCTTTGCTGGCATGACGTGTTCGTGGAGAGCCTTTTGCCGCCTCAAGAAAGTCAAGCCTCCTTTGAGCAAACTGACAAAGGAGATCTGTGGCTACACAGCGTTTTTGGATTGGCCTGAGGGAGGTTGGCAGAAGGGTTCAACGACAACTTTGCTGTGCGCGCTTGTTCTTTGATCTCGTATCCATGCATGTTCTTTGTTCCGCGGTTTTGGTTGGTAAGTGCGTCCCGAGTTCAATTGCTGAGGAATTCCTTGAAAGTGCTTTGATGCAGCCTGATCGCGCGGAGCTGGTGCTGCTTGACAGGCGCCTTGCCTTGATATTGCTTGTGGCAAAAAGCATAAACTCTTGCATGCGCAAGCTGTATGGCGCTGGCGCTTGGCTCCGAGATGATGAAGCCACTGGCATTGCTGCTGATGGGCTGTGTGCCTGCAGAGGCTACAGGGCATTGGCGACAGAATCTCTTGAACGTGGTGAGCCCCGCTTCCCTCTACATTCGAAATTCCACATGCTTGTGCTCACCTTCCGTAACATGGAGCTGGATGCAAGGAAGTTGACCTGGCAGGAGTCGCCGATGTGTGACAACTGCCAGATGGATGAGGGCTTTGTGGGGCAACTTGCCCGATACAGCCGACGTGTTTCACCAAAGTCAACCATCCACAGGATGTTGGATGTATACTTGACGTCTCTATGGCGGTTGTGGCGGACTTGACCACAGTGAACCTGGTGGAAAAACATGCACGAGGGCCAGGGTTGCCATGGAAGTGTTTCAACATCCGGTAGGGGTCAGACACCACCTACTAATAGAAAACAGTGAAAAGAAAAGAAAAACCGGACCAAGAAAAGAAAAACCGGACTAAGAAAGGAATACCCGCACTAACCCGGAGAACCCGGAGAAAGAAAACTATTTCCGGAAAAGATGTCTTTTGTTCAAAAAGATTTCTTTTCGTGGTTTTCAGGTTTGACTGGTAGGTACCCCTCGTAGGGTCCGGTGGCTGCGGCCATCGTGAAAGCATCGTTTTCCCCGTCGCTGCAGGTCGATGTGTGCTGCCAGAGCGGCGGGATGATGGTCATGGTAAGCCCAAAGATCGAGGTGGCCTCGGGGAATGGGTGAAGCACGAGCCCTGAGAGTCCAGTCATGACGAACATGCGACTCATAGCGATGGCCTCCAACTGACTCATGTTCATTCCTTTTACCCCTATGGTAGTGGTGGATGAAAGCCTTTCTTGTCACACCTTTGGGTCACACCTGTTTTTAACAGCCCAAAAGGTCGGACGAACCGCTCGTCAGGAAGGGGCATCCAGTGACTTCCTACACTGAACCCCTTCTCTCCGATCATCTCCTTTCACTCCGTGGGAAAGCCTCCCTATAGCAAATGCTGAAATATGCTGAAATGCTGCACCCGGAGTCTTGGGTTGCCTCCGAGTCCTCCGCAAAGAGTCCTCGTCTCAGGCGGCTAAGGTATCAGTGCGGCTATACGACCGAGGACTGAGACTCTGAGGACGGTGCCAACAAGGTGAGGAAGACCGCGAAGCGGCTCAAGCGCACCTCGGGTGGTTCCCCGAGCAAATGATATAGGTGGCCCAGTGAGTTGGTGCATCGTTGGTTGGTGCTCTTTTTCGCAACGAACCGGCCAAAATGTGCTCCTTTTATCGAGAATTTGTTCCAAATGTCTTGCAATGTCTTACAGATCTCTTTGGATATTAGGATGCCTAGCATTTCTTTTTGAGCACTTCTGGCGCTTCGCCATCTTTGCGTGGCCTGTATTCACATCTCAATGTACATCTCCATATTGGTGGTTTTGCCCTGCGAACATCAATGAATCAAATGAACTGCTGAAGGATGCCTTGTCAAAAGCACGAAACCGCACGGAATTGCATAGAAACAAACAGCTGCTTCCAAAGCTGCTCATGTTTTTTTTCTCCAAGGTGCTGGATATCGAAAGAATAGGAGCACCATGCAAGGCGTGATGATCACCACCTCAGGTCCCCATCCACCTGTCCATCTGTCCATCCACCTTAGGTCCCCATCCACCTGTCCACCAACCTGTTCGTAAAAGGCAAACGTCTTGGATCTCTATCGCAATTGTATCATTATCATGTCTCTATATATTAAGACTTATTAAGCCACACCACCAGCAATGTGAGCTACAATGAGCTACATGAATAGCTGCTTTGGGTGCAGCAGGGATGACGAATTCTGCCTGAAACCATCCTGGCCCCCAAAGAAGGATCGCTACTTAACGATGCTGTATACACTCCTTAGAGGTAGTAATGGAAGTGGAAACTCACCTGTTTGTAGAGGCAAAAAGCGATCCGAGGGGCCATGCCATCCACATAAACATGATTACAGCAATGTATTCCCTTCAAGGCCTTCCCAGAAGCCCTACGCCATTGGTCAACAGAGTGGCCTCTACTTGGTGGAAAGGCCCCTTCCGCCGTGCGCTTCATGCCCTTCATGTGTCCACCCAGTCACTTGCACCGCTTTTAAGACCATTCTTTCAAGTGAGTACATATATTGTGTTATATATTGTTATAATACTATAAACAATATTAATTATATAGAGTTTAAAAACACAGCTAGGGCAACTGATTGACAAGGCACTCCTTTCACTTGATACCAGCAACTTTGGGAAGTCGATTGGCCGGGTCGCCAAGAAAACAAACATGCGAGTCGCCCCGTCAACGGCTTTCCGGCGAGCCGCAAAGACAGGATTCATCGAGTTGAATCTCAAGAGAGTCATAGACGATTCTGAGCTGTAGTCAGTGATCTACTTGATCTACTTACGGAACATGGATATGCAAAAATTCCACTCATAGCTCCTGCTCCATCCGCTCGTTGCCCAGACTCTTGCAAACCGAGAGGCCAAAAAGAGGATGGCCCAAACCACGATGAACGGAGCCCTTGGCGAAGCCGTACGCCGGGATCCCCAGGCCCGGGCCAGTGGATCCATGGGGATGAGAAGAACAACGAAGCCAAATGTCCTGCTCTGCTAGGTCATCAATTCCGGAATTCTGACCAAAGACATACCAACCAGGGCCCCTGCTTGGGATGTCTATTTATAGCTCCTGATCGAGGTGATTCGGGCTATCCATGAAAACCACCACCCGGAGGCCATGGAACTGAACAAAGCCTAGGGCTCCTGTCCCGTATCCTCAGGTTCGGTGGTTAGATCCCCCCTGGCACCCACCCCTGGCCCATCTTCTCAGGAGGTGGTTGGAGCCCTAGGGAAAAAAAGCTTAGGGTTGAAGAATGGCACCCCTCTCATGCACCGGTCCCGCAAGCCTGGAGGATTCATGTGAGTCATTCCCACCCCCGCCTTGTTATCCGTAGAAGTCGCCCTATGATGAAGGAAGTTCGGAAGATCCACGTGGGAGACCAGGTCTACTAGTGAGGTTCCAGGCCTTGCCCATCTTCCACCCCATACTGAGCCCTACTATATATACTATTCAGCAAGGCCTATCCTAACTATACTACGTGGTCTCAGCCCGGCCATCATAGTCTGACTGACTTGTAGGGCACCAGTCCATCTCCGAAGCCCAAGATGCAAAATGATGCCTATGGCAATCGCTAGCGTTCGCCCGGTGCCCTCGATCGAGAAGAGCTTTGGCAAAATGGGGATGCCTGCCCCACAAACGGAAGAGACGAAGACCAGGACCTGGTAGATGCCATTGCGATTCGTGCCCACAAATGAGCGAAGTGCCCACCCCCAGTGCAAGCCAACCATTAGTTTGGTGGAATTTCATTGGCAATTGTTGCGCTCTCTCTCTCTCTAGCTAGATTGGGATAGTTTAAGGATGCCATCAACGGATTCTGAGTGTAGATATACTCGGACCTAGCTCGCACATCAAAAAGCTTTCAGCGAGCGCCCACATTAAGTTGAGATAGAAATGATACATGTAGCAGCTCATATGCCATAATCACAAATCGCACAAATATTATATATATTTATACATATATACATATATATATATTATACAGTGTATGGCTACCCTCATTGACTGAACCTCACAAGGCAAGCTACGAAGATATATACTAAATATAGACCCTCAAAAAATGGACAGCAACAAGATTCAAAACTGTTAATAGTCTTTAATTAGTCTTTAGATGTCTTTAGTATTAGTGTATTCAGTGACCATCTGCACATTTCTTTCAATCAACTACACTCCGAAGAACACGTCACATGGAAGTGGGGGTGCCACCCCTACTTCCATGCAAAGGAAAAACGTCTTCCTTTCCGGGCCATGCCATCCACTTCCATCTTGGTGAGTCTAAGATGGGTGTCTTTACGGATCAAAACGGACCGGCGAGGTCACCAAGTGGTCGTGCTAGAGTGTGCTAGCACGGAAACCGACGCCTGATAGCATGGCAAACTTCTTGAAGTAGGGAAAGCCTGAGGCGCATCCGCGCGCGTCGCATGCGCGCGCGCGTCGCCTCCGCGAGTCTCGTTTGAGGGGGACTCTCGGCTGTTTGACCGGACGCTCGTCTGAAACGTCTGGTTTTTGAGATGCATCGTCCTGAACTGGTAAAAAGGTAGAAAAACACATTCCCTTCCCGGCCCAGCCCTATCCAGGATACAAACACCGCCAGGCCAGTGGTCACATGCTCCCACTGTCCAAACAAGTCATGTTGGACAACATGTCAGGTCCATCCACAGTCTTTGCTTGGCACCCTAACCTTGATTGAAGGCCGGCAAGTCAAGGATGTAGTTCTGGTTCCTCCTGTGCAGCTGACAGGGTGGGTGAAGCAGTCTGGCGACAGTCTTCAACCATCGCTTGAAAGCACTGAGAACGGGGTGTGCTGAAGAGGTTGAAGAGGCATGGTCCTTCCTGACCATCAGGTCAGCTTGCCGCTTGCCAAAGTTGGAGCGTCGTATGATGTCGTATGTGCATGTCAACAACCACAACCACCAGAAACAAAACAAACAAGCATCAATCAAACATAACCAAACTCACACAAGAAAAAGCATCACGGAGTAATTTTCTAGCAATCATTCAGCACAAACTGATTCATCATGATTCATCTGTTCTCCTGGAAAGGAGGGTGAGATCATGAACAGCGAAGCCGATCAGGTTCAATATCCTTGGGGCCAGCGAAGCCGATTCAGAACGATCCGCCAGCGAACCTTCTCCCGAGTGGGGTGCCCCCGAAGGCTGGGCAGGTGGTCCACTGCTCCTGGGTAGGCTAATCATGTTGCAATGTCCCAAGCTGTCACATACGTCTCGCGTTGAATGACCAATACCTAGCTGTCTCATGCCACATCGCACGACAGAACACATGGCAGCACCCTGCAGATGGGTCGATGAGGAGGGTTCCACTCCCTGAAGAGTGAAAACCACCTGTTTGTAGGCGAAAACGGTCATCTAAGGGGCCATGCCATCCATGCAACCATGATCATCTTAGGGAGTGTATCGCAGAAACATCTTGCTCCAACTGGGCCTAGTGGGCTTAAGCAGTTCAAGCAGGTCAACAAACAGCGGCTTGCCAAGAGTCCCCAGGGCCAAGAAGGTGTATGCAAAGGCATACCTCGCCGACAAATCGCGACAAAGTGACGTATGCCAAATGACATGCTTCAGATCGCCAAAACGTCAGGGACATTACACATGTCACATGTCCATCATTCTCCATCTACATCCGCTCGTTGCATTTCTTCCTCACCTGAAGAAGAAATCCCGTCGACCCAACAAACCCCGAAATCACGGCGCTTGTGTGGTCAGTGGTCCTCCAAACAGAGCCGAGTGAGGACAGGATGCACTGGTCCGGATCCTTCCCCTCAAACGGACATCGTCTTCAACGTCTAAAGGCAAACCATGTAAGAATCCTTCAGACTCCACATATGAAATCCACCGCAGTCCCTAGAGGGATGATGGATCTTTTCATCTGGAGGCTCTTCTGCATGAATGAGGATCCGCTTTTGTCTGGATCTCTGTGGCGGACCCCCCCACATCCTTCATCAGTCCAGTCGTCCCCAAAAGAACAGATCTGCATGGATCAGCTGGATTTCTGGAGTCTCCAAAAAAGGTGTCATAAAATGAGAGAGGCAAAGAACAGGACAAATGAAACCAAGAGCTTAGAAGTTGTTGAGTGATCATTCTTCTATGCCTCTGTATGTCTCCGTCTGTTGCATGACTGTCCTGCAAAAATGCATTCGTCGCTTCAACTCGCCAAAAAGGAGGACCCGAACCAAGCAATGGAGATGCATGAAGATCCAGCTCCAAAGGCTGCCGATCCAGCTCCAAAGGCTGCTGCCCAGACTGCTCAGCTCACCAACCACGGTGCGAAATCTGCGAAACCAAGCGGCAGTAGGTCATTGTTGAAGCTTGGCTTTTCACCAGGTCCCAAGGGGTATCCCAGCTTGCTATCGAATTCATAGACTGGCACACCTCAGTTGGAGCGAAGATTGGTCTCCAAGACTTGGAGCGGGCGGTGGAGCGGGCGGAGCGGCAACTGAGCTGGGCAGATTGAGCTGTCAGGCAGAGATGTCAGTCTCAGGTATCTCCCTGCATCTCCCTGCCCGCCGGGCACTGGGCAGGAGATGAACAAGAACAAATAGATTAAAAAACAAAAAAACACTGCAGAAAACGACTACAAACAGGGTGGCTTCCACTTCTATTTCGTCGGAGAGCCCTCATCCCACGCCTCAACTTTCCCGTCTGATGCTCAACGCTCAACACCGGAAAGGGCCAAATGTCTGGGGTCCTCATCGAACTCTCGGTGGACAACCGCCTGACTGCCTGGCGGAGAACCCGCCCCCAAGTATCCATGTCTATGGCAGAAAGGTCAAGAAAAGCCAAACACGACCCATGGGACTGCCATAGGACTGCCGCCCCATTGACCCCCCCTGGCACCACCCTAACTGATCGGCATATATGGCAGTCCCATGGGTCGTGTCTGGAATATAAGTTCTTCCTTTCCTACTAGTACCAGGTGCCCGAACGGTGTCCTTTCCTTCAAAAACCTCAAGAACCAAACTTCGTCGACGGTCCAATGCCGATCTGCTCAAAGCCGCCATCAAAACAATGGCCCACACCTGCTCACGTTGTTAGATGAATCAAGTTGGGCCATGAATCTAAGTTGGGTATCTCCCATGACCAGTACCAATGGATGATGGTTCAGTGGCGGGCCTTGTTCAAACATAGAGATTTCTTTACTGACTGTTACAAGTAAATAGGACAGACTGAACATCTAAGGTTCATGCCTTCGGAACAGGTCCTCCCACAACGCACAGTCACCCCCACTGGTGCCACACCTCCTGCACAAGTAGCCCCTGCCATCCCGACGCCAGGGCACGCAAAGTCGCACAGGTCTCATTCAGGGTGGGGTATGGATCACACGTGTGCAGTGCCACGTAGGTGTCCGCATCGGCTTGATACCTCACAAAGGCGCGGCCACGTCAAAGGCGCTTGCTCGAAACCGGGATGAGGCCACAAGTTCCTCCCAGGAGTCAGCTGTCACTGACCACAGGTGGAGAAACAGGAGTGTGAATGGATGAAGTTCAAGAATAGATGTTGAATGAATATATGGCACAGGAGTTCTTTCCAGAAGCTTCTAGAAACAGGAGTGTGAATGAATATATGTTGAATCTGCAAAGCCTGCGCCTCGGGAATTCTAGTGCGAGTTGCCTCAGCACGTCCATCGTATCCGCCCCAAGTAAGTGAACCAAGAATGTTCAGGCGGTGCAATTGCGAGAAGCACCAGAAGCACATACAGTAGGTCCAGGAATTGCAAAGGGACCCCACACCAATCGGTTTGATCTGTTATACGGCACTGCATTCTTCATGTTGCCAATATGACTGGCCCAAAGGACTTTCCTACTCGGGTCTCATGGATCCATTGCTTTGCATGACACGCGGGTTCCCAGCTCCACTGGGATGGCAACGAAAGACCATGCGGTGTAGACCCCGAGACATGCTTGCGAACGAACCCTGAAACCTAGTGTACCTGGGATTCCTTGTTCGTCCAAGTAAGGGAGTCACTCTGCAGCCCAGTTGCCTGAACCATCTATCCCAAGTATCAGCCTCCGCCCTTAGGCGAATCACGGGCTGGGCGGCCCACACGAAGCGGCGCCGCAGGAAAAAAGACTTTCGCAGTGCCAACACTCAAGTGCCCAAGTGTTAAACTATATAGTAACTATACTATAGTGATACCAGCATGGCTATCTAAAAGCGTGCCCCTGAAAGCGTCAGGCTCACAAGGAGCTGACCCTTCATCTGGCTCAGGAACTTGCTCAACGAGAACCACATCCCAAGTCTGCATCGACCAGAACTTCATCCGCCGAAATGTTGGCCAAGCATCCAAGATGTGATATCATTCCTCCGCAACCACTTGGTGAGGCACGTTGCACTGGTATTGCCCACACCTAGGCAGCCGGGAGGATTTTCCGCCCATGTGCGCCCAGCCAGTGCCAAGCGCCGAGCTGAGAAAAGCAGGCCAGAAGGTTTGCAACGTTCCGTGGTTCCAAAACAAGTTCCGAACCTTGTAAGAAACAGGTGCCAACCAGGTCTTGGCCATAGGCTTAAGGGCTTAAGAAGAAGCTGTCTTTTTCCAGCCGGCCCCTGTGTCAAGGTGACCATGAAATCTGCATTGGCCCTTGAGAAACACGGATGCATCGCACAGCTTCATGGATCTGCCCATGAGGCACCGGATGATCCAAATCAACAGGATTTGGGGCTAATCCCTCCATGTCCAACTTCCGTGCTTGTTGCTTCTTCCACCTAGCGCAGAAGTTTGAAGCAGCAGAGTCTCATATTGCATGTTCTTGACCGGGCCGACCATCTGCGAGAGAGCGAACTGAAACACGCTTGTTTCAATGAAATACCGTCGACAGTTACCACAACCCCGTGGGTATGTGTACAGCTGCAGTACTCCGAACAGGCTCAAGGCACTTTCGAGGTCGAAGTCCAGGTTGCCACCTCCTAAGCTATCCTCGGCTCCACGAAGACCGACACGCATACGGTCTGTACGGAAGGTATGGAAAGTCAACCAGAACGGTCTGAAGACAGAGTACCTGAAGTACATCGATACAAAACCCCTACAGGTCCAAAGGCCCAGCAAAACAAGTTGTTTGGTTCTTTACCTCATGGACTAATGGACTAAAAATCGAACAACATGTGGTCCTTGACCTGGAGGGTAAGTAGTAAACCAAACGAAACCAATCACAGCGGAAGTCACCAAAATGGGTGTCTAAACAAAATGGGCAGCCGTTGGTGATTCGATTTCCGAGAGCGAATGGGATCCATGATTTTCCAGTAGATCTGTGACGCAAAAAAAAAAAACAGCTGATAGACTGATAGACAAACACAGAACACACCACCGCATTTTGCCCGTTTTAAGGTATTGGCCCCAATCACACAGCAAAAACATGTTTTGATCATTTTTTGCCTTATTGGTTTTGATTACTTCGTCCACTCATCCCAAACAAGGACAAACTGGTTCTTGTTTCCAGCTCCCTCGTTTATAGCTGCCCCATTTTGTCCAGCCACACCTGAACACATAGGAACCCAAAACTTACCCATCACGTTTCCAAACACGCTCCACGACCAACAAAGGGTTCAATCAACACGCCATATCCCGACCAAGCATCCATGTACTGGTAGACCACCAGGCCAATGGCTCCTTCACATGACGAAGGCACGTCAATCCGTTTCCAAAAAAATTTGGCCCTGTCACCCGAAGAACTCCTCCTAGGCGGACGAAAGTGTCAGGGTTATTGCCACTGATTGGGCAAATGTCGGGAATGTTTTTGTTGTTGTCTTCTGCTGTGGGCAAAGTGCCTTGCAGGACTGTTTTTTTGTTTTTTTGTGTGTTAGGACATTTCTGAAAATATACAAGTGTGGAGTCGTGTGGATATGTATCATGCTTTCCTGCTTGGTACAAGATTGGATTGTTGAAGTGACTGATGGATTTAAACAAACTGAGCTCGCAAAAACCTGGTGGCCCATAGCATCCACCGTTTTTTTTCCCAAATAGCTGCAGGCTATCTGGAGCTCTAACTTTTCCGTGCTGATGCTGGTGCAGGTGCAGGTGCTGGCGTATAGGTGCTGGCTCTGGTCCAGGGATGACATCACGTCATGCCAGGGATGACATCATGTCATGCAAGGGATGACATCAGGTCATGCCAGGGATGACGTCATGTCATGCCAGGCATGAAATCATGCCATGCCAAGGATGACATCGCGTCAGTAGTAGTAGTAGTAGTAGTAGTAGTAGTAGTAGTAGTAGCCGTGGTGGTGGTGGTGGTGGTAGTAGCAGACGTCGTTGTAGTAGCAGCAAGAACACTAGCAAAAGGTAAATGCCAAGAAGGCTGGCGTTCAAGTGCAAGTTGCCTATATACCCGGGACTGAAGAATAGGGTATCGGTGGGGTATCGAGGCTACCTGCTCACACATACATACCAATGCCACCACCCATGTTAGAGGGTGTCGGTTTTCGGTGGGCCCCTATCGGGTTTGAAGTCAAATCACTTTTTTGACCAAATAGCTGCAGGCTATAGGGGCTCTAACTTCTCAATGGTGTGGCTCAGAGTCGGGGTTTTGATTTTGCGGGTGCTGCTGCCGCGCTGATGCAGCTGCAGGCGCTGGCTCTGGATCGGCGTGCTTTGCGGGTGCTGCGGTGCCGTTCGTTTTGCGGGTGCTGCTGCCATGCTGGTGCTGGCGCTGGCTCTGGGTCGGCGTTTCATTTTCTGTGCTGGATCGGCGTTTTGGTTGGCCGGCGCTGGTGCCGTCCTGGTACTGGCGCAAGGTGCTGGCTCTGGATCCGTATTTCGGCTTGCGTCATGCCAGGGATGACATCATGTCATCATGCCAGGGATGACGTCATGTCATGCCAGGGGCGACATCATGTCATGCCGGGGCTGACATGCTGTCATATTGTGCATGACACCGTGATGCAGCAATGATCATCATGTCTGGGCAGCTTTGGCTGGTCCTTGCCGATCTTGCAGTTTTACGTCTGTGTTGGGCAAAGCGGGCGCATTCAGCTGATAGATGTTGCGCATGTTATTGGTGGACTGGTGTGATGTTGCGTGCTGCGGTGACAGCTATCCGTGGCCGGTGGCGCGTCCTTTAAACCTAATCTGGGGTCTACGCCGGTGTAATTCAAAACATGATGTCCAGGTGAAAGCGAGTGCTTACTTCTAGTTGTTTTGTCGGTGCTCATCTTGCGAACACGCTTCGCCGCCAGAAACGGCCACGCGCTTGGCAGCTGCACCTCAATGGCTTTTCGTAATCATCCACTTTGTTTGCTTTGTTCCCACCAAAATCCACCAAATGTACAACCGATTGAGCCCAGGAGCATCCAGGAGCGCTTGGATATATTTGGATTGCCGGCTCGAATGAGGTCTTCTCCAGGAGACTTGGTGTGCCAAGCGGCTCTCCAAAACAAGAGCACACGCGTAAAGCTCTGCGTAGTATCCTCAAGACCACCACCCCAGACTGCAGTCGTACCGGACCTTGCTCATTGAACTGCACACATTCCACCATGGCACTTGTGCATGAAACCGGGTTCTTCCTCCTGTTGCAAGAGCAGAGCGAACGGTGGTGTTCAAGCTCGCTCTACGCCATGCCGTGCATGTACGACCAGCAAGTCATGGGTCCAGTGGTATAGGAAGAGCGCTGCCCGATTTGCAATCTGTGCTTCAAAATGCACGACATGCGGCCTGAATTGCCGCGTGTCTGCGGATGAAGTAGGAGCCCCTCGGTCCCGATCTTTTTTGTCTCCATGATGGCGTCAAAGAAGAGGGTAGCGAGCGGGACTGCCCTGCCGGACGGCCATCCTGAACCCCGAACCATCACATGTGAGTTCTTCAGGTGGGGGAAAATCAACACCATTGCCCTTCACCTGGCACGTTCTCTTCAGGGTATATATATATATATACTTGGCTGTGGGGCAGAATATTTACCAACCCGCTTGACCGGTCCAACCCGGCCTGACCGGTCCAACACATCCTCCATGGTGGCTCCCGACAGGCTCCCCCCCTCCACCCCCCGCTCCGTTCATCATGCTCTGGCCGATGACCTGCGCGGATCGTAGATGCCGACGGGAAGCAGGTCGCGGGACAAAGGGACCAGCCGCAAGCAAATTGGGGATCACATCAATGATATAACTATAGATATCTGTCCACCACCCCGTATACACCCTGCGCCCTTAGTTTTAGTAGTACATCTATATCGTTTGGGGTGCTTACTTGTTAGGTGTCGCTTCACACAAGCCAAATCTCCTCAATGGTCCAGTTGGGAAGCTGCGAGGCAAGTGAGACCATCCATTTGACTGATATTGATCTCCACTGAAATCAAATACACACACATCCCATCAAACGCTCCGAAATCGGACATGTGGCATCATGTGGCCTACATGGGAGTAGTCGAATCAAGGACTTGTAGTCGAGCACTCGGTCTCTACGCATATTTGCTATATAAGAACTTATTTTGATCGTCCGACAGCTCCCCTCTGAGTTCGACCGATGAACCATGGCACAGTCAATGGCTTGGGTGATTCGAGTGGAATCTGCGGCATGGAGATAGGGTGACCCACACCTAGACAATAGGGTATAGACGACCCTGGGTGACCCCTATACTTTAGACCAACTACCCGAAATATGGACTTTTCCTACCAAAGCAATCGGTCAAATTCAATGCGTTCTAGGTATACACAGTATTACGCTTTTCTGTGGCCTAATCGAGTGGAAAGCCAATGCATGAAAATGCATTATTACTTGAAGATGTTGAAAGGAATCAGCTTCAACGGTTTTGGTTCGTCATGGTCCATCTCGCAGCTGGAAGTGTTGGGTCTTCATTGTTCATATACAGAGAAACACCGTGTTCATGGAGAGTTACTTCAAAAGGAACTTCAAAAATCCACCCAAATCCTAGATCCCTTACAGGCTGTGAGTCCCAAACGCCAATTAAAATCAAAGGTACTTTCTCAATCTTTCTCACAGTATAGCCAACCAGGCCTCCTCCCCCCCAAAAAAATAAAAACATTAAAAAGGCACTACTCCGTCCCGGCCATCGCTGTCCAGCTGCCTGGGGAAAAAAAATCAATATATTCCCCATGATCCCCGGTCTAAGAGGATTGACCCAGTTCGGGTTTAGGGTTTAGGCTTTATAGGGTTTAGGCTTATCTGATCCGCTGCAACACCAGGACCTTCGCGCGTTCGGCGCGCGGAACGCACCCGCGTCTGCGAGGGGCATCGGTCCGGTGCGCCGATCCGGCGAGCCCACATGGCGTGGACAGGGCCGACGACCACGGCGGCTGAGACCGGTGAAATGGAGGAGATCTGCTATGACTCCGTGGGAACCTGTGAAACTCTGGGGTAGATGATTAGTAGATGTGAGGTATATATATATATATATCATAATCTAGATGTTGTATGATTTTGTTTGTTGCTCTTCTTTTTCTCCGAAGGAGTGAGGTCGTTGAGTGCTTCTTTTGCAACGTTGGCTGTGAGTTGTTTTGAGGTGGCGCATGGTGGAGAAAAAACTGAGGGTTGGATGAAGCGCTGCTATGACTTGGTGACGGACTGGCCCAAAGAACCATGCACGTGCTTGTTGGGCTTTTGTCCGGTATGAGGTTGAACCGGTATGTGAGGTTGAACAGATCTTGAGGCCCTAATTGCTGGCGCTTCCCCCACAGGCGCCAAGCTTGAACCCAAATTTCCTGGGCACCAAGCTGCTTTGCCCACCGACTCGCGATCGATCCATGTTCGCACCTCCTGCGGTCCTTCCACCTAGGTGGGGTACCCGAGATGAACTATATAGTTCATATAGTAAGGTAACCTGAAGACCCTTTACATATAAGGTTCTCCAGGTACCCACTATGTAAAGGAGCTTTAGTCGGGAACGTCCCTCCCCTTCGAAACAGGTCTCCAGTACCTGGGCACGACAACTCGACGTCGACATCGTACCAGGGCCCGGGCCCGTCTAAGCGATACGTTGACATTACCCTGGACTGATCTGTATAAATAGAATTCAGTATTGGCACTGCTCACCTCTGAGCTGTTAGAGTGTGTTAGGACTGATGGTGTTGTTCTGTGAATCTGACCGAGTGTGGGAATGTGTGCTCAATACCAGGGCAACAGGAAACCAACACTGAAAAGTAGCAAGAGTGGCCCTGTGGGGTGTCACTTGCTCTTATGAAGTCTGGTGCCCATCAGTCTTAAGGTGGCCCCCATTGAATCGAAGACTCCAAAAACAAAGCTCTCCCAACATCCTACGCTTGCGGCACACCTTGGGTTTGCCGCTTTAGATTCAAGCCTTTTCGGTTCAACAAATTCTACATGTATATAAATATCTGTAGAGAGAGAGAGAGAGTGAGATTGGGCATATCCCATTGCCAGAAACAATGGATGATGATGGTTAGTAAAGGCCTTTCTCAAAGTAGTGATGATTTGCCGACTGTTACTGGTAATGGGACATACACAATTATAATAATTACATAATAGAGAGAGAGGTATCAAATGACTCATCCTCCTGCTGAGTCTCACAGTCAATTGCTTTAAAGCCAGATGCGTGCGGAACTGGGTAAATTGGATATGTGTCCCATTGCATAACACTGGTCGAACTTGCATCGGATCTCAAATCCTTGTTCAAAACGCTGGTTGAAACAGTTGATACTGGAATCTTCAAAGAGTTCAGTTGCCAAAAAGCACCCCCAAACCACCACGAGGCGTTCCCGAAAAAAAGAGAAAAAGACCCGCTCCCGCCTCGGAGAGCCTCACAGTTCCGTGCGTCTCTAGGGTGGAAGAAAGATTCCGTGAGCTGCTTTTTGCTGCCAGAACTGCGGCTCCACGAAACCAAGTCATGACCGTTCGGTGACCCTTCTGACTCCCGAGCTGTTTCGCGGTTCGGACGCCAAAGGCGTTTCCGAAGAGAAAGGTTCGATCGAACTTTCCACCTGTTGTTAAGTGGGCTGTAACACTTTAAGGAAACTAGTAGCGATGGCCTCCAACCTAATAGTGATGGCCTCCAAGGTTGTTCTTCAGTGGGCCGTAACCTAGATTTAGCAGGTGAGCTACTCTTCCTCCAAGCCGTTGAGGAACCGTCCTGAGAAGACTCTCGTCTTCTCGGAGGGAGCCGGACCGAAAACCAACCAGATGTGACTGGCAAGAAACACAGCAGCCCACGAGGCCAGGGTTCAGGTTCTGTCTCTCTCTCTCTCTCTCTCTCTCTTTCTTTCTATATACACACCCTCCGACTCACTGAGAGGGAAGTGGAACATGGAAGACTATTGTTTCTTCACGAACAGGTGCTTTGCCACTTCCAGGTTAGTGAGTCGTTGGAGTGTGCATTTATATAACTATATTATGTAATATGCTGGCCAGGGTTTTGCTTCAAGAGATTCAAGGTCACTAAGTGTGTGGTCAACATCTCAAATGAAAAATCACATGTTCACACCTCTGTGATGTAAAATTGATCAGTCACAAATCTGAAACGCTAAACTTGAGACTTTTGGGTTGGTCCCGGTCATGGCTGCTAAACAGGTGCTACATCTTTCCAAAAAATGAAACCGCATTGCCGCATTGCTGGAGCGTTCCTGTGTTCAGCGCAGGGCAGGCCCTACCCCAGCAGCGGTCCTAAAATTGATTCTACATATCTAAATATGCGTTCACTTTGTCATGAATCAATTACCATAAATTACCCTAATGATTAGGGCTCTAGCTACTCCTCAAAAAGCATTTGGGGGTGGGTTTTGGAGGCCCTTGGAGCCCTAGGCCTAGGGGCTCTTGAAGAAATCTTCCTCTGCCATGAGTAACTGCCGCACTGCTGGCGTAGGTCGCTGCGGCCTGGGTGAGGAATCTGCTGTAGCCAATGAGCCTGCGCATGGCTGGGGCAGAAAATGGTTTCACTTTAAAGGAAAAGAACGTGATGGCACAACCAATCCCCAAGTTTGGTTTGTTTTCACATGTTTCCATGGACCCCAACATCATCGACATCTTGGCGAGCCATCACGTGCCATCACGAACCTCTGGGGTGGTCGGTCCGTACATTGGGGGACCGGGGACCCTACTGCTCGCAGTCCAACAAAATATCATATTGCCTCGCCCCGGTTGGGGTAGTGTCCCTACCGTGAAGACATCGTTTTCTAGCCAATACATGGTTGAACATTTATTAAAGAACTGCAGCCATGTATGTTCTAAAGGTAAATATGTCCAAGTTCATGATTTAGGGCTGCGAAAGCCCTGATGACCTCAAACGGCTTGTTGAACGAAGAGTCGTGTGGAGGCCTTCACTCACTACCAAGGATCTCAATCAAGGTAAGAAACATTGTTTGTTCAAACGTTAAGTGAACTCGCATACGGCATGCACGGACAGTTGTACTTGTTCGTCAAGCATCTTGGATTAGCCATCGAAACTCTACAACTCCTGCAAGAGATTCAGGAGCGTCCAGTTGAATACCATGCTATCATGTCGTTCAGAACTCATCTAGGATTTGCTTAAGGAGCCACATTCACCAGGCTAGAGGAATTGCTGATAGGGAAAATCGATCACCTTCAGCCAAACCAGCCAAACCATCCAAAGCTCGTGTCTTTTCTAAACTCCAATCGGCCATTTCGGCCGAAGCCGGTCCGGGTTGGGCGCTTCCCGCGACTCGTTCCCGGCGCATTCCCGGAGGAGATGGCCGGTCACCCGGAGGAAGAGGGGATTTGCATGGTTTCCCACTTCATGTGCGACTTATCTGAAGAGATGAAACCCCAAGTCCAGAAGCTGCTCCCGAATCTCTCCAAACAGTCCTGGCTCCTCGGACCAAGCACCCATCCCTCCGTCCATCCTTCGGGGTCGAGAAACAGCACAGAGCTGAAGCAGTGCACTAGTTGATCGGTGTCTCTTGGTGAACTTAGTCGACTGGTGTATGGTACATGCAGCTGTAGATACATAAAGGGTTTGTTCGATAGTATGTGACTTCTGCGGCGGAAGGGACCCCTCACCATCCCTTCTGGGTGGAATAATAGGCATTCATCTATGCCTAAAAACATCTAAAACACGTGGAATAAGGCTACTGGATACAGGAAAATGCTTGCAAAGGTCTATCTTGGCCTCGTTTGAAACGCCTCGGCCGCTTGAAAAAAACGCTGAGGAGCCAGAATAATCCGGAGCCTCTAAAAAATAGGCGCTAAGTCGAGGAGCCTCTGCTATACCAACATCCTCAAGTCTTGAGTTGAACCTTCAACGAAGCTAAGCAGCTATGCTAAGCATCACAAGTATGGGCTACAAATCATGAATCGTCATGAAGGGGGAAACCAAACCTGTGCCGTTGCTCTATCCGTATCTGCATCCACAAGGCAGAAGAAACTCTGTCTACCTACCTGGTGTGTCCTCTTCCTTTCGCTGTACCAAGGTCATCGCGTGCTGGGGCGGGTCACGTGTGGGAGCTGCCCGCTAGCTCAGCACGTCAACAAAAAGGCCATAGCTCATAGACTTCTTAGGAGTACGATGTAGTGACCCCCCCCCTTATCTATAAGTCTGTGAGTAGAATGATTGGAGTGTCAGCATGAAAAACACAAGCGGAGGAGCCACCATTGGGGGCACTGATGCCCCGCTCCCAGGTAGGAGAAAATGAACAGATTCAACGATTGCGAGCAACTGGATCTGCCACTGATGTATGCCGTGCACTCCATGACTTGCAAGCATACAAATTGGGTCCACACAAGACTCGCAACACATACCGTTCCCAAACGGTATGGAGGTTGACTCAAGTTCTTGACTAGTGAGATTGGTTCGGCAGGAGCTCAGAGCTGGAGTGTATTTAGTCAAGTTTGGCGTAGTCCCGGTCGAATGCTCCAGGCTCAGCCCCTTCGCCCCTCCAAACTGATTTGACACTCCAAACCTCTCCATACCCAGACGCGACTAATGGGACTGTCATATGCCGATCAATTGGGGTGGTTTCGGGGGGGTCAATGGGGCGGCAGTCCTATGGCAGTCCCAGACACGTCGTGTCTGTGATACGAGGCTCCACATGAGGGGTCAAATTCCGGTGTCATGGGGTACTGGCCATGGTTCTTCAGCAAACCCAGTTTCGCTCGCGAGGGAGGAGACCGCAACGTCTCGTCTGGGAGACAGGCAAAAGGGAACTCAAACCTGGAGTGGCCCCCCCAAAGCTGCCTCAAAATCCTCAAAGATCTTTCTAGCTTGAGACAAACAACAGAACCAGAGAGCAAACTGAGGAGATCATAGACACTCGGAACCGAGACCCGCAGCTTTGGGTTCCAGTTGGTCAACGACCTGCGTACAGAAACCGGCCATGGCCGGTAGAAGCTTGGGAGCCACTGCTGCCGGAGCCAGAAACACATGGGGTACAGTACAGAAGAGCAGGACATTCGCATGTGATGGTCCAAAAATGGTCATAGACAATCCGTTTTGTGATGGTTTGTGCGTAACCTTATGAACTTTCTATCTTGTATTGGACTTCACTCCACTATCCCAACTGTGGTTGTGCCACACTTCCGGCCATAATCCAAGCAAGCAAAAACCCAAATAGAAGGCATGAGTGTTCGTACGACTTCGTGAGTGGTAACCTGCTAGTACAGTACCTACGGCCAAAGACCGACTGCGTACGGTGTGTCGAACACCCCTCGGAAAGGTGATGGTAGCACAGCTGAACCCGAAACGGTGACAGTCATGACAGTCACGAGTCTCACCCAAGTTGCCAAAAGCGGAAGAAGACCTTCTCCGTATCGTAGGCCGAGCTAACGCAAGATTACTTGCGAGATTCTATGCCATCTTCCAGTTACAGTACATATGGTGAAGAAACATATCTTGAAAACACCATATAGTTCTGGGAGGTTTGATTTATAGAAACAAGATGACACAGGTTGATATTCAGTCAGGATATCTCCTGCGAAAACTGACTTACTTCATGGATCGCTGCAGCCCCCGGAACTCCTACCGCGAATCCCAGGCTCTCGCGGAGCGAGTAAAACGTGCGCTCACTGAATCTAGGGGTGAAAGGCCAAGGCTGGGTATGTCTTCTGAAACTCCTGGCCAGCAAAGGTTCAACATATTCTTTCAACAGGTAGGAGGTAAGCAGCCGATGATGGGGTTTCTTTTTTGACGCTATTTAGCTATAAGAGGCATAAACCGATATTGTTTGAGAAACTGCCTGTCTACTATCCAACCACCCGAAAAAAGAGAAAAAACACATACACCACTGGCTGGCCATGACACGTCGAATATTGCCTGGTTGCCGCAGTGCAGGAACTTAAAAACACATCCTTACTGGCCACCTTTAACCATCGCCGACCCATCAAGACGTTGAGAACGCGTGGTATCCGAATACGCCGAGTACGAGTTGACCGCTAGGTGCGTTGACCGCTTTGATATCATCCTGATACTCCAAGAGTTAACTAACTGGACTTCATCGCCTCGGTTCTTTGGACGGTGATCCGTTCTATCGGTGCCTTGCCAACGTGGCTGTTGAACTACCTGGGCTCCAGGTCACGTGGACCAGGGCTCCAGATTGTGAGATCCCATCAAGTCTGAAACCATGCACTCCATGGGACTGCCAGGACGGACGCCCCAGGAAGACCCCCCCTGGCAGCACCCCTGGCCTGATCGGCATATATTCCAGTCCCATGGAGCGTCTGAAACCATTGTAGCGTCGTTGTGACGTGGGAGGTCGCCATCACGTAACGGAAGGGTGAAAACGGCGAGCGCCGGAAGAAAGGCGAGGCGTTAGGAAAATGAGGGAGTGGAATGTGGTGAATACTATCTAGTAGATTGATGATTGAACACATCATATAATACATGGAAAAAATGTGTAATAAGCCACAACACCATCACAGCACCAAACAAAGCTTCAATTGACACATAGGAGCTCCATCTAACAGGGGTCTACGGTCTAAGGTGTGTTCAAGCACCATTGCACTCATTGCACCATCTACCTAATTACTCCTTTATACCTCTGAAAACCATGGTCCTCCTCCAGAGCTCGCACGATCTGACAAGTACAAACGAGCAACCAAACTTGTTTTCATCCAGTGTCCAGGTTTTCTCGAACCAATAACCCAACAACGCAATGGAAAAAGCATGAAAAAACCGTCAAAAAAAAACACACCCTTTCTCACCCAACACCCCAAACCCGCGGATCTCGAGTTTCTGCTCGGTCAGCTCCCGGTCCTCCATGGTCATGAAATCGATACGAGTTGGCTCGTGCGAAAGCTCCCCCGGCCGGTGCAAGTACAACCTGAGCGAGAGGAGGGCTGTGGGCGATGAGTCGAAGAAAAACATCAAGGGGATGCTGGTAGGAATCTAGCACGGCGGTGGGTGGGATACCAAGTGGTGTGAGAGCAAGTCTAGGACCATATGGAGGATAGATAAATAGAATGTATCTACTTCTAACTAACATATGGTATATAGCCGGATTCTTCTCTGTATGTTCTGTGATCCCGGTGTCGGTATAGGGTACGGGGTCCAAGAACAACATCTTATACAAAAAAAATAGCTGATCCAAAGGGGGTAGAGGACATCAACTGAAGGAACCTTATACCGTATACCTTTCTTCGACTCCACGTATCTCCACGTCTGTGTCCGTATCTTCTCTGTGAGGTTCTAGGACTCGACGTTGCCACATGTTTGTTTTCTTATGAAATTGGCAGCTAATCTATTGAATTTTATTATTGATGTTTCTATTCTGCCAATTCTTGTTCATGATTGTTTGCTTATGAACAAGGCGAAACTGAAATTCAATAACATACAATGACACGCACACATCTTCCATAAAATAGGAACCCAACCCTCTAAGGGGGTGTCACTTAAAACGTTTTATAGATTACGTTGACCCTCCTGATTTCAAGTAGAGGATATGGACAAGGGAATGTCTGTTGTATGATTGTATATCTTCCGTCACACCGTCCTTAGGTTTGATATGGATTGATTCGTCTTGTTGCATCGGCTTGCATAGTGAGTCTTGTGAGGATGTAGTAAAAGTACCTACGTTGATCAACATCTTGGCATCTTCAACCTGCCATGAAATTACACCTTAATAACTTAAACACTTATGACGATTAAACACGTATACCCGGGCACAAAAGCATCGCCAAACATTTACATAGATCCAACATGATCCCACAATGACAAGCGTTTGTATTTTTCCTCTGATGAAGCGCGCACAAGCACAAAGGGATACAACACATCGCCAGCGGTGATAAGAATTATGTCTGTTCTTTGCTAGCACCATCGATCAAGCCCTCAAACGGCCAAATCCTGGTCGCTCCTGCATCGCCCAAAAACGGGTTTGGTGACTTTTCCTTTCTCGACATCACCTGTCAGCCGATCCAACCGGCGGATTCTCATCGGCATCCAAGCGGCACATGGCTATGGAACTGCTGCAGGGCGGGTCGATGGCCTACAGAGACATAGCCTTAGTCCATCAACAGCCGACCTGAAGGACCATACCCAGACGCGACCTGTCTGGGACTGCCATAGGACTGCCGCCCTATTGATATCCCAAAAAACCACCCAAATTGATTGGCAATTGTGGCATACATGGAGTGTATGGTTTATACAGAGCCCAAAATTGGAGCCACATGCTACTTGCCCTCCCATAATTCTGATGCTCAGATATTTGTGGGCTCGTAGCAACTGGTGGAAGATGTCTTTCTCCAGGTGGGGAGAATCAGGATTTCCTATGTCGAATTGACTGCTTTGTTTCGCTTCGGAAGTGCCAACTGTTTACTAATCAGTTCAAAAAAGAAACAGCATGAAACAGCCAATTTGTTTCGCAGCTTCTCAAAGTGACCTTTTTTGTAGTTACCTTTTACGGGCCTAAGTGACCTCAAACCAGGGGATCGAGTGCGGTTACTTAGGACCAGGGATTCAACGTGTAGTCATGTCGTTTGCCACCATGGCCCATGGCCGTTTCTTCCAACCCATGTTACTATACATGTTGCAATCATGCAAACCAAACTCTCAAACATGGGTGCGGTGTGTATTTTCAGAGGGGGAGGGACATCCCCAGCCTGGCTGGGTACATCCGAATCCTATTTTCCGACCCTTCCAGGGGGTCGGACTCCCTATTGCACACCCACATGTTCCACATGTGACTTACTGTAGCTCCGGCTGTTGCAACTCCGCTTTCTGCATCGAAGAAACCGCTGAGCCGTTCTCGCAGCAATCCATAAAGCAAAGCTTCATTCCCCGGATCGCACGCGGAAGTGCCTGGCATGAGCGTCAGGCTTAAAATCCCCAACTGAGGAATTCCGTCAGCTTCAAAGTGGATTGCCCTTGATGGATTCCTTTTCAAAGCTGATGAAGTAGTGCTCACAGGCTTCAAGGTTATGATTTTTTAGGGTTCCAGGTGTGCTTCAGGACACCGCCCCGACCACCAGCGGCCCATTTCGGAACACGCCAAAACTGCCATCCAACCTTCATCAATCAGCGCCACGCGCGTCTCTGGCCGCAGCCTCAGCGACGAAACCCAGCTGAACCCGGATGTTTGTGAAGAAATTCACCGTCTGTGGGACCAATTTGGCAACTGGTTCCTTCACACTTTTAAGATCGTTCAAGAGAGGGTCGATTGCGATCTGAGAAAAAACAGATACGTGTGCAACAAAAACACTGACACAAATTTGAGTCACTGAAGAGTTCCATGGTGAATCCACTTAAACGATCTTTAAAAGTCTTAAAACGCATTTGAGATTCATGAACTGTACTGTCGGCTGACAGACATTGGGTGACAGGACCTGGTGTGTGGATCTATCTCAGAAGAAAGTTACCCGGCGATGTGCCTCGGAGTTTGACCCGTTTCCTCCCCTGGGCTCCCACAGAGTCCTGTGGCCCCATGTGGTCCCGTAAAATACACCAACGACTACGCCCTACTCACCCGGAAGACTCATGCTCGGCACCAGCAAAAGGACCTCATCTTGAGCCACGGGTCAGTGCAATCCTTCTAGATCCGAAGTCGCTTCCCCTCCGCATCCTCCGGCGCCCAAACCCGTGCCCACGGTCGTGTTTCTGTTCGACCGAAACGAAGGAAGGGTGGGAAATGGCTGGAAACACCGTCCGAGGAGCAACACCCGCGCAAAGTTGATGCGCTGCTGTTGCCCCAGAGACCTCACACTCGGGTCGGGTGCGACCGACCAGCTCCGACGAAGGAACTCCACCGAAGGAACTCCACGTGTTCGTTTTGTTGAGTGCGGTGTCCCTAATTGCCCCCTCAAACAACAGGTTGATGGTGCGTGGCATGGCAGAAATGGTGGCCAGCTATGAGTTAGACCTCCTGATTCTGCATGATTTTGAGATCATTTGTGGTGAAGTCTCGAGCAAGTCCAATTGGAGATGGAACGTCCTCCTGGTTTAGAAGCTTTGACACGAAGTCTCGCTAAAGCCAAGCCTTCCTCTAGGTGGAATGTGCGAAAAAAAAAACAAGCTTGTTTAAGTGGAGGAGGCCATAATCAAAGAGAGAGGTGCCAAGAAATCCAGAATGTACCCCATAAGGTGCACCTTTGTTGTTTGATGATCTGAATGGGTCAAACAGTCTTGGAGGAACAATTTGGAAATCATCAACACCAATTTGTTTCTCAGTATACCGGATTTGACCTGATCCAACATGATCCAACCACCTTCTCAGAAGAGGGGTTGGTGCTCAACAGAAAAATCCTTCCCGTGGGCCGTGGGCAAAGGTTGCAAGAGGGCCCAGGGAGTAGGGCTTGAATATGCTTGAGCATGGTACAGTACTTGCACAATGAGTGCCAAGGCAAGTAGCGTTGCTTTTTTCCAAGCCACCACCGTGCGGCACCTGTGAGGCCCTCCCGCGAACATGGAACCGCAAAACCCTGGTCTTCCTACGGGTCGATCTTCAGGGTCGTGGGTCAGAACCAGGATACCAACCGGGCACCTGCCGACGAGAGGTCATTCGATGTCATTCGCAGCCAAGGGTGGAACTGGTCTGTCGCCACCAGGGTGGAACGAGCCATTGACTCATCCCCATGTGAGTTGGCAGGGGGGATGAATCTTGGACCAGTGGCAACAGGCTGGACCACTCCTTCGATTCATTCAGATTGTGCTGCTCCTCGGCTACTGGCCGAGAGGAGCCCTTTTCGGGGCTGTTGGGCTTCAGGTGTCTGGTTGGTTGACATGGAACTGTTGGGCTCCAAAATGGGCTTCAAAAACATTTAAAAAAAACGCTTGGATTGGCAGCAGTGCTGGGAACAGTATAGTATATATTCCCCAGGTCCGGGGGTTCAGGTCAGGGGGTTCATCCAGTTTGGGGTTCATCCAACATCTCCCTAGATCCGCAAAACCAGGCATGGGCCGGAAACGGCCCCTCAAACACCAAAGTTGGAAAACCAGAGGTGGATGCTTAACACAGCCTCGGGCAAAAAACATGACAATGCCTAGTCCACAGCTCCATGCTTTACCTCCAAAGCCATCACACTTAATGCTTGCCTTGGGGTCTTGGGTGATTTTTCTGCAAAGCATTGATCTCACGAGCAGCACCACGCCACGCCACCAGAACAACTATAAAATAACATATACCAGCAGTCACAAAGGGGTGCTTAATGGAGGTTAGGGGTGCCCATTATCCACTCACTTAGAGACCCAAAACCACCCCTTTGTCACTCCTGGTAATCATATTATGCTGGGTATATCCTACTACATCCTACGGCCTACCAGTAACAGTGGACGATGGATGCTCGAAATTCTTGACTCCGACTCTTTACAGGTACAATGGGACAGGCCGCTACAGGCCCATGATATGGCTTCTAGGTTCATAGCACCAAGATGCACCAAGCCTACACACGTCCCACAAAAACCGTCTGGGTCTAACCAAGCAACATCAACATCAACCAACCCCCCGTCTGCTCACATGAAGAAATCTCAACTTCTTGCCGCATAAAGCCCTTCTGCCCTTGGATCCGAGGCTCTAAGAGGTGATGTAAGTTCACCTGTTTCAAGGCCTGTTGGATGTCCACGTCACCCAACAAGCTGTCCTGGCACCATGCCGGTGGCGGCCGAGGAGTCTGCGGAGGTGTGCTGGAAAACAGGCATCCGAATGAGGTCCTAGACTTGGAACTGAGGTCTCAAGTGCAGCGAGATGTTCACTCATATTTCCACTTCACCTCCAGGAGCAAATCGTCGCACAATGAGTAGAGAGATCGAGCAGCGGGGAGTGAGTCAAGGTACACCTTACCTCTGCTGCCAGCCGGCCGTTGGGAAGTTTCATAAGGGTTCTACAATGTTCTACATGTCTTATCTATTCTTATCTATAATTTATAGTGGATTGAGAGTAGATGGCACAGCCCCCCAAGAGGTGGTTTATATGGACCCCCATCTAAAGGACATCTTGGGGTCTGTGCCATCTACTCTGAAACCACTGTATATAATCAGACCCCCGACGAAGGTTCTTAAGTCCCAACCGCTTCCGAGTGGATCTGCTGATTTTGCCTCTCAAAACTGCTCTCTCCCGAGTCTTCGGTATGTTTTTCCATGCGCGATCGGAGTGCAACTGCTCCTGCCCGGTTCTGGGCTGTCCTGGACATTAGGGTAAAGAAGCTGATCCTTCAGCGTGCCCAGGAACATGTATGGTTTCTGAGGCATAAAGAAGACCTCAGCCACCACAAGACACGTTGTGCATGCCCCTTCTCCCCAAAAAAGGCAACCAACAAAGGGTAAGTGACCTTATAGGACCCTACTGGGGTACTTATGGGATAGTCTATAGGGTTCTTCAACCTCTGTTCGAAGTACACCAGTTCATTGGATGATGTCGACACCAAGCAGGTGAGGGGTTGACTCTCATAGTTGGTATATCCCGAGGGGGGGCCGTGGTTAAGAAATGAACACCACCCCTTCTTGGCAGGAAGCTGTTTTGTTCTACTGCTTCAGCAGTAATGAAGTACGTAAGCATATGCATGCATGAATGCCATATTGGTACCATCTGCAAGCTTCTCTCAATTGGTGATCTGCGCAAGGAACACTAGCTGGCAGAAGCGTTCGGAACACTTGATGGAGAAAACCCACTCTGCACGTCTTCACCTTCTAGACCTCCTGGACCCTCTTCACCCTGAACCTTCAAACCTTTTCACCTGGACCATCTGGGCGCCTTCAGCCGACCAAACAACTCCAAGAGCTGGACGCACGCCACTTCCTCGCCCTCCAAAGACTCCGAAACTGGCCCGCAAGATAACATGTACTCAGGGTTCTCTCACTGACACGGCCAGCCCCCATCCGAAAACAGTCTAAAAACCTCCCTCCAGTCATCAAAAAGAAGATCAAAAGTTCCCCCCCTCTCCGCCGGTCGAAAAGGCTCAAACAAACCGCTCCGAGCAAAAAGAACAACACCACGGCGACGACGCCCCCCTGCTCCAACCGCCCCACCCGCTCTCGACAAACCCTCTCTGCCCGCCGCGGCGCCGTGCGCCGCTGACACAGCTGGACCTCACCACAGCCATCGGCCCAGAGCCCCGCGGCGGCGCGCAGCAGGGAGCTCTTACCGATACCTGGGTGTCTTTTGGGTCAACGGAAAACAAGACCGGAAAACGATCACTTATAGTTCCAGTGAACAAAATAGGGTGGATTCCTCCAAGATATAACACCTTTCAGCTATTTATATAACGTATTTAATACATGTTGATATACCCTCTATATGCAAGTTCCAAAGGTACACATGCAAAAGTGTTCACAAAGACTCCAAAGGCCAAGCAGCATCCCGCAAATAGGCTATGTGACTATATGTTGCCAATCCTCTCTGAACTGAACAACTCACGATCTTTTTCTCCAAAGAAGGAAAAACTGGATACTAGATGATACTAGCGACGCAAAGCAGTCAGGTGGGTCCAAACCTGACATCCTGCCTCCGCTGCGATCCAAAATAAATGGTGTGTTGCACTTCTTCCATCCTTCTAGCAAGCATGGGTGGTCGATGTGATCAAGCAGTTACTCAACATTTGATCCCACCGAGATGTTCAGTCCTTAGGTCGACCCAACATAGCCCAACGCCAAGAATCCTTACCGCCCATCGTGCTGACCGTCGGCTCCCCAACTCCGCCCATCGCGTGTTCCGGCGTCACTCTCATCGTATGCTGGTGAGGCGCCGCTCTCCCCCACGATCAGTAGTGACTGACCTCAGTGGACTCCCGTACCTACGTACCTTTGGAGGATGTTTCCCCGTGAAATGCCTAGTTTTTGGTGTGCATGTCATATGGGGACGCACCTAACCAATGCCATTTACAGTGGTTTCAGGCAGCCGATGGCAGGGCGCACAATCCGTCTTTGACCAACGGAGGTCCTTCAATCACCGACCTTGAGGTCACTTTGTGCCATCGAACCAACGCCAGTCCCGCCTGACTCCGACTCCTGATGTTGGCTTCGCAGTTTGCGACTTAATAGGGAAACCCATACGAAAAACGACACGGTGCACGAGGCACGAGAAGAAACAACTCGAGCAACTGAATTTGTACGTCTCTTGTACGTCTCTTCTTGGATCAAACATCATCAACATATACCAGGACCCTGCAAGGGGTGTCCAATGGACTTCAACACACTACCAGCCTAGGCTTCCAGACAGGGCACCCCTTAGAGGGTCCTGGTACAATGCAAATCATGTTCTTCGTCCAAAGCTCCATCCTTCAGCTCCATGGAAAGCTCCTGGCACAGTGTCTGTTGCAGCATCCCTTGCCGTGGAGGCGTGCGCAGTGTGACCTGGCCGGCTGTACCACCGCGGGCGGGGTCCGACACCCGGTGATGCACTAGGTTATACCGGTCAATCACCGCTATACTCAAGTTTATTAGCAACGTTTACTGTGGGGACGCAAGGTCCAAGGTACACTCACTACTATATCCGGATCTGTGAAACAATATGCACACATGATGCATGGTCATCTGTAAAACCAGCCAAGGTCGGCAGACATGTGGCATAGGAAGACCTAGGTGTACATTTAGTCAGGCAGATGTGCTTACAGCATTTGGGCTTTATAGTTTACATGAACTTTAAATTTAGTGTATTTTAGTGTCTCAAATGTTGAAGCCTTTCTAAAATGCCACAGCTCAAACGTGAGCATCAGCATCCCGGTAAATCTCTCTGTTGCACTGCTCCTCCTTTATCGCTTAAACTTTGGGACGGATCATCGAAAATCAGGGCACAGCACCAATCAAAAGAGGATCATTCTCATGGTTTCCAAGTCAATGAGTTTCTGCACCACTGCTCCATCCAACGATCCCTCCAACGCTCCGCACCACCGCTCCGCACGGAGAGCGCCTCCCGAAAGCGCAGGAGTTCATCGGCGCCTGCACGATCGGTGGGCTCGGCTGGGGAGCCCCAGCGAGCTGTTTGACTAGCGAGATACGGTCAAGCTACCAGGAAGTCACAGAAACTAAGAGTAGTACTAACCAGGGGCCCCACAAACCATCAAAAACCTGGTTTTCCCCAGAACGAAAACTGGTTTTGGTATGTGAAAACCTCTCTTTTTCATGGTTTTGAGGGCCCCTGGAAGAGTATTGGTAGATCAATTGATGGGTACATACTGCACACCCCCTGAAACAATCATGGGGGCTCGTGGACCCGTGTCATTCCGGGCCGAAACCATGTCAACGCCAGATTCCATGGAGTCTTTCCATAAACACCACGCCACACCTTCGCTGTTGGGGGGTCACACGGCGGATGGCGACCCAACGGTCAGGGCGGAACATAAGGACACAGGGAAAGCGAAGAACATGGAACGCGCCGCTGTTTTTCGGTGGCAGGTGGCAGGTGGTGAACATGGCAAAGAAGCAGTTCAGTTGAACCCTCATGTGCCTCCCCGCCAGAATAGCCCAAAACTCTTCTTTCCCACCAAAGGTGCGAATGAATGACCCCCGACAAACAATGACGCTGGAACCTCTTGATCCCACTACACCGTCACCAAAAAACCGCGCAAAAAGAACAAATGCTGGGGTCTTCTCCCATCTGCCCCCTCAGCAACCCTGAAGAAACACACACTTCGACATTGGTTTTCAGTTAACGCAATTGCCACGTTGGGA